AAACTGGGAGTAAGAATAAAGCTGGGGGGATAGTGTGAAGGCCCCTAAACAGAGCGGGAGAGACCTTTGGAGACTTTTGTTTCTGTTTGCCTCTAAGAACCATTTGATTTCTTTGTGCGTGCGTGCTCATCGCTCAGTCGTGCCTGACTCTTTGTGACCCTGTGGACTGTAGCTCGCCAGGCTCCTCTGCCCACGGGATTCTCCAGGCAAGGATACTCGAGTGGGTTGCCTTGCCCTCCTCTGCCGGGGATCTTCCCGACCGAGGATCAAACCCACGTTTTCTGCATTGGCAGGTGGGTTCTTTACCACTGTGCATCCTGAAAAGCCCTGACTTCCCTGATTTACTCTGCTATGATTTTAAAGCTACTTTATTTTAAGGAGATTATTCAATCCCCTGAAGCGCTCTATCCCTGGACAGTCTGGGGTCCTCTTCTAATATTTTGGAACTCGGTTCCCGGCTATTGCTTTGATGTCTCCTCCGTGACTCTGTCTGGATCAGGGTGGGTGCCTGACCTCTCAGACTCCCCGCACTCTCTCTGTGTCTGTGGCCCCAGCAAAAGGCAGGACTGATCGCCGAGTTAGGATGGAAGAACTCAGCTTCCTCTTCCCTCCTCTGCCTTCTGCATGTGTATGAAGATCTGTATCAATTCTCTAGCTCCCCTTTTCCTTCCTGTCCCATGTCATATCTGTGTACGAATGTTAGATATCAGGCTGTATTTCTGAGAATCTCGTCTGATCACAGGATCTCGGGGTAAGGCCGCATCTTATTTCCCTGAAAGAAGACGCACAATCACAACATCTTATCATTAAGAGAAGGTGCCACAGACTCTAGCAAACAAGCACACACCAACTGAGCAAATCCCAAAGATGCAAAGTCGGGGTCTCCTGGGAGTGGAGAGGCGTGGGGAGCAGCCCCTGTCAGAGCCTGGAGCCCTGGGCGGCCTCCCCAGCCTTACTGCCCGGTGGCCTCCCTGCCACGTGAGGGCAGGCCAGCAGGAACTCGTTACCTGCAGCCGGATCAGCTGTCACCTTGATCTTGGGCTTCCAGCCTTCAGAAATGAATGTCTGTTGTTTGCGGGGCTCCCAGTCAGTGGTGAATTATTAAGGCCGCCAGAGCTGACATGCCGCAGGTCAGGGTGGTGCAGACAAGACTGCAGTCAAGTGACATCTGAGTTATGCTGGAAGGAGCGACAACGTGTCCCTTGTGAAAATACACAGCTCCCCCTTCACGCACACGTGCACACACACACACACACACACACACATCTTGTAACAGCTTATGGGGAGGAGTTCTAGCAAAATTCACTGCAAAGCAAACCCCAAGAGAGAACTGACCAGTAGAAGCCAGTCTCCTCAGACACAGAACTCAGGGAGATTCAAGGTGAGACATTATGCTTTATCAGTTCAGTTCGGTCTTTCAGTCGTGTCCGACTCTTTGAGACCCCATGGACTGTAGCACGCCAGCCCTCCCTGTCCATCATCAACTCCTGGAGCTTGCTCAAACTCATGTCCATCGAGTCAGTGATGCCATCCAATCATCTCATCCTCTGTCATCCCTATCTCCTCCTGCCTTCAATCTTTCCGAGAATCAGGATATTTTCTAAAGAGTCAGTTCTTCACATCAGGTGGCCAAAGTATTGGAGTTTCAGCTTCAGCATCAGTCCTTCCAATGAATATTCAGGACTGATTTCCTTTAGGATGGATTGGTTTGATCTCCTTGCCATCCAAGGGACTCTCAAAGAGCCTTCACCAACACCATAGTTCAAAAGCATCAATTCTTTGGCACTCTTAAAAGAAATGAATATTTGGTCTTCACCCCCATTCCTAGTGCAGAGCTCCTAAAACCCATGGAATTTCCTAAGTGATGATGGTACTGACCTAGGTTCCTAGACTCTAGTCGATAGAAATTGCTGAGAGGCCAGATGAGGATTTCAGGTGGCGCTTTACTGGGGCTCATGCTCCAGCAGGAGGGAGTGAAGACAAGTAGCAAGTTCCCTCGTTCACTCCCCAAAGGGGGCGAGCTGGTCCCTTAAATAAGGTGAGGATGGGGGCAGACGGGTGGGTCAGGAAGGAGGGGGTGGCTTGGATGGTCAGTGCACCCCTTAGGGCTGCTACCTGCAGGGGTCACGCACAGGATACTCCTTTTTTTTTCCCCCAGCTCCGGAAGTAGCATCTGGATTTTGGCCTTTGTGTATTGTGTGCATCGTTTGCCCCAGTTGTACAAGTGCTCAGTAGCTTTTAGCCCCTTTTAGTTTCTTCACATCCTGTTGCCCTAGGAGACATTGGTCCAAGTGCAAGCTCTCGGGGAGGGGGGCAAAGGGTTCCTGGCCCCAGGTCCCAGTCTCTCTCAATGACATGAATACAGGGGTCTTTTGCTGTGATACAAAGCAGACTTTGGGCAGGCCCTAGGCCACTGATGGTGGAGGGTGATTGCCAGGACACCCAGTCATGTGATTGGAGCGTTAGAACTTTCAGTCCCAACCTCAGACCTCCAGAAGGGGGAGTGCAATCACCATTGACCAGTGATGTCATGCTACAGAGTGAGTCCTCCATAAAACCCAAAGGGACCAGGTTCAAAGAGCCTCTGGGTTGGTGACCAGGTGCAGATTCAGAGTGACTGGTGCCCCTCCAGAGGGCACGCATGCTCTTTGCCCTTCCCCCACACCTCACCCTGTGCAATTCTTTCTTCCAGTGGCTATTCCTAAACTGCATCCTTTCGCAATAAAGTAATATACTGGTAACCTAGTAAGTATGGTCTCTTGAGTTCTGTGAGCTGGTCTAGCAGATTAATCCAACCCTAGGAGGGAGGTCTGGACCCTTCAATATAGCTGGTCAGTCAGTGAGAAGCACAGGTGATAACCTGCAGTTGTGATGGGCATCTGTATTGGGGGTGGGAGAGTAAGGTGCCCTCTGGTGGAACTGAGCCCCTAACCCATAGGAATTGATGCTGTGTGTGTGCTATGGTATTGTATCTGACTCTTCACTACCTTGTGGACTGTAGCCCGCAAGGCTCCTCTGTCCGTTGGATTCTCCAGGCAAAAATACTGGAGTGGGTTGCCATGCCTTCCTCCAGGGGATCTTCCCAACCCAGGGATTGAACCTGAGTCTCTTATGTCTCTTGTACTGGCAGGTGAGTTCGTCACCACTAGTGCCACCTGGGTCTGATGCTACCTCCAGGTAAAGAGTGTCAGAATTGAGCTGCATTGTAGGACATCACGCTGGTATGGGAAAATTGCTTGCTGGGGTGGAAAAAACTCACACATGGGAATTGAGGGTAGAATCAGACAAGGGCAAGCCGAGATGGCCAGAGTTAAAATAATAAATCACTTATGGGCATTTCCCCAGATCCTCCAGGAATGAGTTTGCCCAGAGAAGTTTTGTTTTTATTATTACATGTATATTTTTGCACTCACATTCCTAATCAAATTTGTAAACAATTCAAAACCCAAATCTGGTGGGGTTTTTTTTTTTTTCCTTCAAATTAACTGCGGTTTTTAGGATACCATTGAATCTCTTCTCATCTTTTCGTGTGAATTGTTAAGAACTGGCTGTTCTCATTAAAGTGTAAGAATGCTCATTGGTTTTAAAATCCTGCAGAAGCTATGTGGAAAATAAAATTGAGTAAGAACTCAATTCTATTAAAAAATATGCATTACTGGAAATATGCATGAAATGAACTAGCAGTTGCCTCTTGGCCACTGTAATTATGGGTAATTTTTATTTTCTTCATTTTGCTGTATTCTGTTTCTCAAATATTCTCCAAATGCTTTTTCGTCTTAGAATCATGGGGGGAACATGTGGTTAAAAAGCCTTTCTCATCTTTCAAACCCAACTCAATGGCATCTGAGTTGAACTTGCTATGTGGGCTTTCTGTGGAATTTCCCATTCTTTGCCACTGACTGGAACAGCAGACGCCGGCAGAGACTTGACGCTGGGTTGTGCCCCCAGACATGGCTGTCCATGTCCCGGCCACAAGGCTGGACGACTTGGGCTGCCTCTTGAGTCTCTTTCACTGTCCTCAAGCCCCTGGATCTGATCCCTGTCCTGGGGTCTGGAGCCCAGGGTTGGCCTGACAAGTCCAGGGTGGGCAAAGATAACGAGGCCATATCCTTCCTGATGAAGTGAGTAAAGTGAAAGTGAAGTCCCTCAGTCATGTTGGACTCTTTGCGACCCCATGGACTGTAGCCTACGAGGCTCCTCTGTCCATGGAATTTTCCAGGCAAGAGTACTGGAGTGGGTTGCCATTTCCTTCTCCAGGGGGTCTTCCCCACCCAGGGATCGAACCCGGGTCTCCCACATTGCAAGAAGATGCCTTTACCATCTGAGCCACCAGGAAAGCTCAAGAAGTGAGTACTTACAACTGAAGATTAAATGCAAGGACATGTCTGAGAAAATGCCCCGTGTCTAAGAAGGGCCAGTCCAAGTCTGGAGGGTGTGAGGTGGGCGTTGGAGCTGGGGGTGTAGAACTCTTGACTTCAAGAGTTGGGAAGACACGGGAGGGGGAAGTCAGGCTGGGGGAGGAATAGAGGCAGGCCTGGCCTGAGGCATCTGAGGGGCGGGGACCGAGTGGGCAACTCAGAACCGGGTCCTCCGAGAAGCTCCATGCCACCTGGGACTCTGGGTGCCAGGCGCCCGCTCTGCAGACTATGAACCCTGTCATATTCAGAACAGCGGCTCTGCGACCATGTGTAGCCTGGGCTACTGCTATTCCTGCTGCCTGTCTGAGGAATTCATTCCTTCCAAGGGGATCAAGTTCAGGACACCAGGCCCCCGAGATGCTGGCTTTCATTTAAAACAGGGGGAGTGCTTTCCCCAGTGGCTCTTCTCTGCTCCATCTTGTTGCCAGTGGGGCTGTCTGAAATGTGCTCATTAATTATTGGTAACTTTGTTGATTTTTATAGTGTATTTGCCTTTAGCAATGGTGGTTTGTAAAAGCCTGCAATTATTTTAAACACACACCAAGGAGAGACTTCATTACATTGACCCACTGAGAATGAAGGTAGTGTACGAAAATTACTTTATTTACAACATCTTACAAAACAACAGACCAGCAGACAAGAGCATCCCACACAGAGAAAAAGTAAACATATATACATATATTTCCCTAAAACTAAGATGTCCGAAACACACTCAGGACAAAATCTTAAAAGCTTATGGTGTGGGTAGCCTTCATCTAATCATGAGGTATGAAATAGTCCTTTCAACAAGAGAGCTGCCTGTGCAATGAATTACTTTCTGATAGAACCTCATGGAGAATTGTCTACCTGTTTTATATCATGATTCTCTTTCTTGATCGAAAAACTAGACTCCAAACTCCAGATTGTCATAGAAGAGGAGCCGACATATCAGATGTTTTAGGTTCATGCTTTGTACACCAGCATGCTGTTATTAATGTCCAGTCTTTCCAGGTTTCCTAAGACAAAATTCCATTCCTATTGTCACAGCCTAACCAAGCAGTAATTGAAAGCACCACAAAAATACTTGCCTTTAAGACTTAAACGGAGATACCTCACTGAAATTACATTTTATTTTCCTAATAAAAAGAAATATGTCTCACAAAATGGACATTAAATACTTAAAAACTGAAAATATAAAGCAAAATGTTATATAATCCAAGCTTGAAATTTACTCTAATGCTACTTCTCTAGCTAAAGAAAAATGAACACTTGAATATTTTAAACATTAGGACTTTGAAAATTCTGTCAGTGCATAAGGAAGTGGGTGGTGCTGTAAAAACAGCTGGAAAATGTATTTAAAAAGCTTATTTTTCATTTTTCTGTTTTCTTTAATTTTTTATTTCAGTTTTTGTATTTTAAATTGTTTTTTTCTTTATATACATTTTTTTTTTTTTTTTTTCATTTTTCTCAAGTGCAATGTTTTACTTCATATTCTTTGGGGAAAGAGAAATGTAGTTTCCCTCAGATTGAGAAAAATCACTTCATATTTCATCTGAATCACAGTGACTTAATATTTGAAGTAGGGATATCTTTTTTGAGGGAAGAAACAATCACTTAAACCAAACTTTCAAAATCAGCAAGTCTTGAAAAAAAGATTCTGAAGTAGAATTTCTACATGGGGGCTTAACAGAATCAGGCAACATTTAGATGCCATCTAGTGGCCAAAACGGCAGCTGGATTATTAATCAAAGAGTTCTTTGAGCAAAAAATTGTCCATGATTTTGACTTTTTAGAGCAATGATAGGAAATTATTACTTCCCAGGCAATGGGATAGTGTCTAGGTTACATGAATAAAGTTCACGTGGTATTTCCACGAGAAGAGGGTTTTGCTTCTTGACCCAATTCAAGTGACATTTTTCCTCGAGCTCTTTCTTAGCACCAAGAGAAGGTTCTGGAACTTTCTCACGTTGCCCTAGATCACATTCTTATTTCAAGTGGTTCAGAGCTAAATGGGAAATAGTAGCTTTGTGCTGCAGCTTTATTCATCGGAAAGCCAGGTCCAGTCTCCATCCCCTGCTCCACGGTCACCTGGTGCCTTTGCCAACGGGATCATGCCAACCCGGGGAACGGTCACTTTCCAGTGATGTGCAGACAACCAAGCAAATCAACAGTGTCGTTGCCTGCAGGCTCAGAAGATCCACATGGCAACCCAAGCCCTGACCCCATGTCAACTCCATCAGGAAACCTAAAGCATACCTCAGTTTTGTTAAGAATCTTGGAGAACAAAGGGGAGATGGCTCACATTCCTGGCATAGTCAGTGTGGGCTACAGATTATCTCTTTCTGGGTCTCATCAAAGCCTGATAAGATGAACATTTCTTATTTTTTGAAATATGTATGGACTATTTCTCAACTTCTACTTAAATGTCTAAGGTTGCAATGATATAAAGACTGAGAAGTAAAAAGCCTCCCCACAGGTGGAGAGACTTCCTAATTTTTCCAGATGGGAAAATAACTATCAACTGAAAGGACTAGGAAAACAACTCCAAAACGGAAACACAGGAGTCACACTCAAACATTAAATGCAAAGTAAGCTAATTAACTAAGGTTAGTTGTCTTGTATGAGCTACAGATTTCAATGATCTAAGTTATTTGTGTGTGTTCAGTTACCACAGACAACCAGATTCCACGTGCAACTGAAAGTAGGATTTGGGGCCCCTGAGAAGTGCCCATCAGAAGGGGGCAGCCACGTACTGAGTCCCAAGGTGGTCCCCACAGGTGGGCAGAGGGTGGTCCAGCTTCCAGCTTCACCAGTCCAACTTCACCAGTCTAATTTCAGGTCTGCCTTGCTCCATACGTATTTCCCTCCTCGCTTTAGAAACATCTTCTCATCAAAGCCACTGAATTTTATAGCTTCTTCTACACCCACATCCAAGATGGACTTGGAAGGATCCTTCCGCCCATTTCTACAGTTCAGGAAGCGCATCTAGGAAATTTAGGACCAAAGTTAGATATTTCCATATAATTTTCCTATAAAACTCAACTATGGGGATCAACTCAAAATGATTCTGGATATTCCAATCATTCCAACAAATGTTTGTGGAGACCTATAAGCGAGATGCTTTCCTGGGGACAGTGAGCCCATTGGACAGCATCTCTGCTCTCAACCAGCTCCCATCACACACCTGAACACGTTAGGCCAGGTAAGTGCAGGATAACCAGAATTGTATACATGTACGTATCCCTCCATTGGAGAGTGGGGTAATCCGGAAAGGCTCCCAAAAGATGCTGACATCTGAGTTGTGTTTTGAAATTGTAAGCCAGAGAGCGTAGTATTGTTAAAGCCCAGAAACAATACAGTGAAGTTTGGGAAATTTCAGGTAGATGATATTGCTGGTGTGAAAACTGTGTGTGCACAAATAAGTGTAAAGAGTCATAAAATGTGCTTTTAAGAAAGGGAGAGAAAGTTGTAGGAAGAGGCACTACAGAGCCAGGCAGGTCCCACATCAAGAAGTGTCACATGCCCTGTTAAGGGCCTTGGTGCTGTTCACTCACTCAGCCTGTCCAACTCTTTGCTACCCCCATGGACTGTAGCCCGCCAAGCTCCTCTGTCCATGGGATTTCCCAGGCAGGAACACTGGAGTGGGTTGCCATTTCCTCGTCCAGGAGATCTTCCTGGATCAGGGATTGAACCCACATCTCCTGCACTGGCAGTCGGCTTCTTTACCACTGAGCCACCAGAGAAGTCCAAGGGTCTTGGTTTTTATCCTAAATTAAGCATCTTGGAGCAAGGAACCAGATCTTCATACCTTATGACCTACCATGGCACAGAGCATTTTATAGTAATTCTTACCATATCAAAATGCTCTTAAATTGCCAAAAGTAAATTTTGTTCCCACTCTGTTTATTCCAACTCTGCAGATACCAGAGAATTTTTAAGGAACATTGGTCAAAATCCCCAGGTAGTAAGGATATTCCAAAAATAAATTCCATTTGACTTTTCATCTCTAACTTGAACCCATAAACTGAACACTTGTGTTACCTTACCCCTCTGCTCTGTAAAGAAAGCTCATATTGACAAAAAAGTGAATGATTATGAAGCGTCACTGATTAACTTGAAAATAATAAAGTGTCAAAAGTCACGGTAAGCATTTCTTGAAACACCAAATCCAACTTAAATATGGAAAAGCCACTGTTCTTCCTGAAACTCATTTCTTAAAAACAGGTCTTTGAATGGAAGTATTTGTCCTGTGTTAGAAATACTTGCAAACGTTTCTGAATTGGGACAAACACAGGAGAGACAGAGAGGGAAAGGGAGAAGTGATTTTTCAGTTTTGAGAATGCCGGGTTATCCTTTCCCTCGAAAGGCAGTGGCAGAGGAATGTATCAGTGGCTTTAGGGGATTCCGCAACCTCTTCACCCCAAAGCCGACAGCTATCTGTTATCGATAAGCCAGCAGGCATCTGGGAAATTAAAGGCAATAATGTGACTTGTGACACGTCCTTCCTGCAAAGAACCCCTGGTGCCCCATGACCAGAGAAGCCAGCCAAAGATGGTGTAACAGAGGGGTCTGCCTTGTGTGAAGTCAGCTCCACACAACCTCCGTGGATTCACAACCACAGGGAAGACGCCGTGGAAGGGGCGGCGGGGGCCGGGAGGTGGGGGAGCGGGGGTGAGGGTGGTCGTGCAAACACTGGGACTGGGTTCAAGCCAATACCTGCCCAACGCCTTAGCTCCAAGATGGACACAGTGAATGAAGCCAGGGCTCCATAATATTGATGCTAATCAGTGACAGTAAAACTAGGAAATGCTGGCTAAAAAGAACGAATATGGGTTAAATGGTTATGCTGACTGTAACTCAACACTGGCCTTGCTGCTTAGCTAATTTTTAAGGGATCATTTTATGATGCCCTAGAAATACTCACATATTCATCCAGAATAAGGTAGGAATCTCTCATCTGCAAAGGAGAAATTACAGACAAATTTAGTTTCAGGCATATTTTTCAGTACGTATGTTCAGCTGTCTGCCTTACAACGTCCGTGTGTTTGTTTCGCCTTATCTCTGGAGTCGCCATTCCTCAAATCTCCTGAGCGTCTTTGGATTCATCTCCACAAGGTAAGCCACCTGCGAGGGCCCCACCCCACCCAGAATGCCCTCCACCCGGCAATCTGTCTGTGTCCATTCAGATTCCAACAGATTCCAGCAAGCTGGCCTCTGTGTCCTGCTGGAAGAGTCACAGGGCTCTCTGAAAGCACCTCTGACAAGGAAGCCCCAGGCTAACTCTCCATGCCCTTCAGATCTTGGGGTGCCCCGTCCCGCACTGTTCAGTGTTCCCTGTGTGTGTGTGACCTGCCTCAAATGGACCACCTTTTCAGCAAATAAAGCAGAATCTCTTTAATGCTACTGCCTGTCTACTAAGTTGCTTCAGTCTTGTCCGACTCTTTGCCAACTCATGGACTGCGGTCCTCCAGGCTCCTCTGTCTATGGGATTCTCCGGGCATGAATATTGGAATGGGTTGCCAGTTCTTTCTCCGGGGGAATCTTCCCAACCCAGGGATTGAACCCATGTCTCTTATGTCTCCTGGATTGGCAGGTGGGTTCTTTACCACCAGCGCCATCTGGGAAGCCCTTTAATGCTATTACCTGGGAGCTTACTGAGGACTTGAACATTGCTTATATTCCTCGTAACTAATGACACCTTTCAGAGGTATGTGGAGGGTGTATCTGTACTTCTATAGGAAGTTGTACCCTCCATATGTACCCACAGAGTTTGGGGTCTGCACATGTGTTTGTATAAAGGCCAGATTGTAAATACTTTTTCAGTCTTGTAGGCCATTTGGTCTCTATGGCAACTTTAGTTCACCTCACTTTACCTCTGACATAGGTGAAGTCAGCCTAACCTTGCCTTTCACACAGCTGAGGTCAGCTAACTTTACCTCTGATGTGGGTGAAGTCAGTTAACCCTTTCTCTGATGTAGGTGAGGTCAGTTAATCCTGCCTCTGACATGGTGAGGTTAGTTAATCCTATGACTCAGGCCCCTGTGTTTCTGAAATGGGGGAGTGATTTCTGGCTTATGGCCCCTCTGTGAAGTACTCACCAACTATTAATAGTAATGATTATTATAACATATTTTCTTTGCTCACACATTAACTGCATAATTAAGACAACTTTTCAAAAGCCAAATACAGCAGTGTGGACATATGAGTATTCTCCTCTGTTCTCTGTCCTCTTTTTGAAAGCTGCTTTAACCCCATCTGGCGATTTTCTTATTCATGCTCTGGTCAACATGACTTAGGAGTCTAAAGCATAAGGACCGAGTCCTTGTTCTGGAATTTCCAATATGATATAAGCATGTGAGGGATAGATTTTGTTGCATGTTTATTCTTTGGGGGAAGATGGGGAAAGCTTTTGATTTTTAAATAGTTGAAAAATAACAAAACTACCTATTTTAGAAAAATTTAAAGTCCAAAGAGTTATCAAGGTATACAAAAATGATTGATAATCCATTACCCCAAGACGACCATGGGATGCGTACATACACATCCGTGCACACTGGGATTAAAGGTCAAATGGATTTTGCCTGTTGTTCTTTATTTGCACCCAATATCATATCATGCAAACTTATCCTGGCTTCCTAATGTTCTTTGAACTATGCTATTTAGTCAGTATAACATTCCATACCGACATGAGTTTACCTGTTCTCTGTATGTTGAGTATCAGACTACCTTCAATTGTTTTATTTTTACTCCTCTCCTTAACACTGCAGGAACATAGCTTTGAACAAGAAGTTCTTTTTTTCCTTTGGCTTCAGAGAACACTCTGATTATTTACTCTGTGGAAGCTCTGCAGTATAGACGGGCTTTAGTTGACACGGTTTAATCTACAGGACACATGCATTTGCGCTAACAAGACATACCCACTGTTCTTACTGGAAACCTAAAGATTTAGTACAGCTTCTATATCTACCCTTAGACTCCTCCCCTCTCTCGACGAAACCCTCCCACATCCCAACATGGGCAGCCCTTGGTGGAGACACTTTTCTCTTTGGAGCTACCTGTGTGATGGGAAACAAAATGACATTCACTTTCTATTAATACACTTTAATACACTTAGAAAGTTCACTTTCTAACCTTCTGGTTAGACTCGGGCACCAGGCAGGACACGTCCTTGTGGCGATCTAAGAACACTTCAAACTCCTCATCGCTGATCACGAACCGTTCCGCTTCTCTCAGTGCATCTTCTCCAGAATTCTCACCCTCAATTATGAGACACTGGAAGACCTGAAACACAAGGGCAGTGTTGGCCTCCTAAAGAGCTTTCCACCACTTTCTGTCCCAAATTGCATTTCCCTCTGAACCAAGCTTCATCCCTCCTGAGCACAGAAAGTGAAAGTATTAGTCACTCAGTTGTATCCAACTCTTCGCAACCCCGTGGACTGTAGCCTGCCAGGCTGCTCCGTCCATGGAATTTTCCAGGCAAGGATACTGGGGTGGGTTGTCATGCCCTCTTAACGGGATCTTCCTGACCCCAGAATTGAACCTACCTCTCCTGAATCTCCTGCATTGGCAGGCAGATTCTTTATCACTAGTACTACCTGGGAAGCCATTTACAATATGTCTGCCTATAAATTTTCAACTTTTTAGATCAGAATTTTATTGTTAGTATTTATACTGTGGTATTTTTTAAAGTAGCTTTTAAACCTTTATATAAAAATGCATATTGCTTTCTTACTACATTTTAGATTTAAATGATGAAATATACCAGGTGAAATAGGCTTCCTAAAGTATTTAAGTTTAATTTTGGGGTTCTCCCTTTAGGTTTCAAGCCATTATGTGCATGCGTGCCTTCTAAGTTGCTTCAATCGTGTCCAACTCTTCACGACTCCATGGACCATAGCCCACCAGGCTCCTCTGTCCATGAGATTCTCCAGGCAAGAATACTGGTGCGGGTTGTCATTCCTTCTCCAGAGGATCTTCCAGACCTAGGGATTAAACCCAGGTCGCCTGCACTGCAGGTGGTTTTTTACCATCTGATCAAGGAAGACTCATCTGCTAGAGAAGGAGTCAAATACCGCCTCCTACATGAAGTCTTCCTAGCTTTTTGGCAGAATCAAACCTTTCCCATTTCGCCTTCCCACTTTATCCCAGCAGACATAGCTTCATATTACATGAGTTTTCTTCCTCTCTTTTCCTTGCTAGAATTGAATTCTACATCCTATCTTCAGTTGCATTAGTCTAGGGTCCAGCCACAGACTTTCATGGATTCCCGCATGACAATGACCAGGGCAGATTGTTAAGAACACATATTCAGGGGCTCCCTTGGTGGTCCAGTGGTTAAGAAACCACCTTGCAATGCAAGGGACATGAGTTCGATCCCTGAACCAGGAAGATCCCACATGCCTCAGGGCTGCTAAGCCCATTCACCACAGCTACAGAGCGAGTCCACATGCTGCTGACTACTGAAGTCTAAAGCCTGTGCTCCACAGCAAGAGAAGCCACCATAATGAGAAACTCACGCACTGCACCTAAAGAGGAGCCCCTCATCGCTGCAATTACAAAAACGTCCATATGACAGTGAAGACCCAGCACAGGCAAAAATAAATAAATCTTTACCCCCACCAAAAAAAGACATATTCACACAAGTCCTCCTGCTAATCTGTTTCAGGACAGTGTGTATGGGATGAGTCCCCAGAAGCTGATTCTAAGTCTAGCAGAAAGAAGGATCCAACCCAGCTGACTCTCTGAGTCCAGAGTTCTCTGTATCCTTATCATTTTTGGTGTCCCTGAAGCAAATCTCTCCTGAACGTTCACTTCCTTACAATCACAAAAGCAATGCAGTTTGTACCTTCCAGCGGACGGGGTTCAGTGCGTTTATCTGTTCCTTCATATCCTCGTCCACGTTGAATCGATTGATGACTGAGTTTATCTTGAAGGCCACTCTGTATTCCTTACACCATGTCCTCAGTTTCTGGAGATTTTCCACGTGGTTCTTCTTTCCTTGACCACGGCCGATAAGGACATTGACCTGCTCATCAAAGCTGTCACAGGAGATGGCAAGAATGTCCAAATATTCACCTGAAGGAAAACGATCACTGTTAGGCTTTTCCATCCAAGGATGAGAACTTATGTTAAGCTTTTCCATCCAAAGATGAAAGCATAGGATTTGGGGCTTCCTTGGTGACTCACTGGGAAAGAATCTGCCTGCCAACGCAGGAGACACGGGCTCACTCCCTGATCTAGGAAGATGCCCACACGCCTCAGAGCAACCAAGCCCGAGTACCACTACTGAGCTTGGGCTCCAAGCCCGGGAGCCACAGCAACAGAAGCCCACACGGCCCTGAGCCTGTGCTTCGCAACACGGGAAGCCACTGTGATGAGAAGCCTGTGCGCTACAAGAGCCCAAAGCTAGAGAAAAGCCCACACGGCAGGGGAGTCAGCACAGTCAAAAATAAAGAAACAAAATCATATATAAAAAACAGCATAGGCTTTCGAGCCAGAGGTGGAGAACTAGAGCTTTATGGACCACAGAAGTTGGCAAAAACACTTTGTTTGTTCCTCCAGACATTTAAAAATGTTACAAGAGCTAAATCTGACTACATGTCAGCTCTGTGTCTTTTACTTTAACCTTTGCTTCCCTTTGCTATTGTTCACTAAAAGAATACTGTCCAAACACAATGGCCTGCCCCGGAGAACCCTGCCCCTCTGCCGTAATGTTAAACCAAAATGCCTTTGTTCAGGGAAACACCCTGACTCTGTCCGCCTGCAAGAGAAAAGAAATATACACATCCCCTCCCTGAGGACCCTTGCAGGAACAATTGCAAAACCTGGGGTCTTTTTACTTTATTTCTCGTCTCCTCCAGACCCCAATGAGATGGTTATTTTGAGACAGTCTACCGTCTAATCCTTCTGCCAGCTTTTGAAGTCAAGTCCTTATTCCTTGTCTCAACACCTCCTCTCCCAATTTTATGGCCTGTCGTGTGGCGAGCCGAGCGAGCTTGGACTTAGTAACAAAAATATTTCACGCTGTTTTAAAATATTTTTATTTGGGAAATTTAACATAGTCATTAAAAGGAATGAAATAATGCCACAGCAGCAACATGGATGGACCAAGAGATTGTCATACTGAGTGAAATCAGGCAGAGAAAGAGAAATATGGAATGATAAGGCAGCAGAATCTTAAAAATGATACACATGAACTTACTTACAAAATGGAAACAGACTCACAGACTTAGAGAATGAATGCATGATCACCAGGAGGGAGCAGGGCACTGACAGCCTCAGGTCTGTGACTGACAAAGTGAAAGCACTTGGGACTGACCTAGACACCCTGCTATGTTTAAAACAGACAACCAACAAGGACCTACTAGGTAGCACAGGGAACTCTGCTCAATACTCTTTAATAACCTAGATGGGAAAAAGAATTTGAGAAAGAATGGATTTATGTATAACTAAATTGGAGGAGGAAATGGCAACCCACTCCAGTATTCTTGCCTGGGAAATTCCATGGACAGAGGAGCTTGACCGGCTATATAGTCCATGGAGTTGCAAAGAGTCTGACACGTCTGAGTGACTGAGCACATGGCACATACTCTAATACAAAATAAAAGGTGTAAAAAATAGAGTGTAGATTTAGGACGTATCTTTAATAATTTGAGCATATGGCAACACTGACCCTGATCTCTGATACAGGATAAAAATCAGTGACTGTTCACAATTGGCTGTCAACGTGTCTGCTATGAATAGTCCTTGCACTTTCTTGTTGTCTCCCTACCCCAGTGATCTTTTTTCTTTGCTGTTTTTCAGTCACTAAGTCATGTCTGACTCTTTGTGACCCCGTGGACTTCAGCATGCCAGGTTCTCCAGTCCTCCACTAACTCCAGAAGTTTGGTCAAATTCATGTCCATTGAGTTGGTGATGCTATCTAACCATCTCATCTCTGCCTCCCACTTCTCCTCCTGCCTTCAGTCTTTCCCAGCATCAGGGTCTTTCCAATGAGTCGACCCTTCGCATCAGGTGGTCAAAGTATTGGAGCTTCAGCGTCATGCTTTTTCTTATGCACTTCCAAATTCGCTGCTTTGCACTGCCTCTCCAGACCAGCCTCTGAGCTTTTGCCCTAAGGTGCAACACTGCTGATGGTCCTTACTCCGCACACCACACGTCTTGGAGGGAACACACTGCCCAGGACACAGCCAGCAAACCCAACTCAGTCTCCTGTGCTCACATGGCTGCCTAACCCTGTCTATCTCTCTAAATCCAGTCCCCAAAGCTTTCTTTTGAATTTCTGACGCTCACCTTTGACTGAGTGACTCCCTTCATGGTGTTTTGTTGCTGACTCGTGGCCCTGTGTTCCTGCTGTTAACCTTTCCCAGATGGGAAGTACAACCCTCCCCCACACCCCGCCCTCCCCTCCCCCATGTCCATATTTCTTCATCCTCTAGGAAAGAGGGTTTCATCAGAGATCCTCGTGAACATCCTCAACACATCGTACATGCAACTACCCTTTGAATGATTTCAAGACTCAAACATCTCACAGAAAGCAAGCACAGAGCATTTTACCGGAAGAGCCCAATCAGAACTGTTTACTAAAATGATAGTAGGGCTGTGCTGACCTAAATGGGACGGAAATCCAAAAGAAGAGGGGATGCATGTAAACATCAGAAACTAACAGCAGAAACTAACACAATATGGTAAAGAAGCTATACTCCAATAAGAATTAATTTTAAAAAACTGGTAAAAAACAAAATAAATAGGATAGACTAAATAAAGAAACAAAATAAATAAAATAAAATGTAATGATAGCTAATGTTTTTCAAATGCTTCCTAAATTCCAGGTACTGCTCTAAGAATATTAATAAGTGTAAGTGTTAGTCGCTCAGTCATGCCTGACTCTTTGCAACCCCATGGACTGCAGCCCAGCAGGCTCCTGTGTCCACAAGATTTTCCAGGCAAGGATAACTGGAGTCAGTTGCCATTTCCTTCTCCAAGAATATTAATATCTATGTAAAAATTAGCATTAAGGGACCTCCACAGTCTTAGGCTTCTCTGGTGGCTGAGTGGTAAAGAATCCACCTGCCAATGCAGGAGACACAGGTTTGATCCCTGAGTCAGGAAGAGCCCCTGGAGAAGGAAATGGCAACCCACTCCAGTGTTTTTGCCTGGAGAATCCCATGGACAGAGGAGCATGGCAGGTTACTATCCATGAGGTCACAAAAGAGTAAGACATGACTTAGTGACAAAATATCAACAGTCTTAGGACCAGGGGTTTGTAACCCTGATTGCAGACTGGAATCCCTTTGGAGCACCCCAAGTTGGAATGTCCACACACCACAAGGCTCTGAAATAAATAGTCTGGAGGCTAATCCGAGCAGAGATGTCTTAAAGTTCCTCAGTAGCCAAATACATAGTCAGAGGGGAGAATGACTGTTTTAGTCCAATCCCTCAATTTATACAGGAGACTACTAAAATAGAGTCATTTCCATAAATACTCTAAAAATTAAACATAAACAGGAAACAATAAGGTCGGGGTTTGCAAAACTGTCCATTGTGTTCATCTTCCCCAGTAATGACTCAACTAAAGCTACTTTGATAACGGACAGGAGCATCTGCTGGTGGGTCCTGCTATCTGCTTTGCCATACTTGTTTATGAGAGCCCTACCGAAACTCAGCATGCAGCCTGAAGAGAGATTAGAACAAGCATACTTGCTTTTTTCTCCCTTTGGATCCCAGCAGGCCAGGCCGGAGGCCCAGGGTGGAAGGAAGTACAGAGACAGTGATAGAGGCTAGAGTCACATGCAGCGGGGGCTGCTCACCGTACTTCTGGAACCACCTCTCTCGGATCAGGCTCCCGTTGCTGACGATGCTGACACTGGGCAGCTGCAGCTCCTGCTTACAGAACTTCACCAGGCTGCCCAGGTACTCGCCTCGGTCCTGGAGGAACGGCTCCCCACCTGAGAAGTTGATCTTCTCCATACCTGGGACAGACAGCATATGGATTTTCCTTCTATTTTAGCACTTCATCAACATGTTATCATTTTAATGTGTGTTTTCTCAAGGTAATAGAATGAGACTGGAGAGAAATGGCGAATAGATAGGGAAACAGTGAGAGACTTTATTTTGGGGGGGGGGGCTCCAAAGTCACTGCAGATGGCGACTGCAGCCATGAAATTAAAAGACGCTTACTCCTTGGAAGAAAAGTTATGACCAACCTTGACAGCATATTAAAAAGCAGAGACATTATTTTGCTAACAAAGTTGGTCTAGTCAAGGCTATGGTTTTTCCAATAGTCATGTATAGATGTGAGACTTGGACTATAAAGAAAGCTGAGTGCCAAAGAATTGATGCTTTTGAACTGTGGTGTTGGAGAAGACTCTTGAGAGTCCCTTGCATGGCAAGGAGATCCAACCAGTCCATCCTAAAGGGAATCAGTCCTGTATATTCATTGGAAGGACTGGTGCTAAAGCTGAAACTCCAATACTTTGGTCACCTTATGCAAAGAACTGACTCATTGGAAGAGACCCTGATGCTGGGAAAGATAGAATGCGGGAGGAGAAGGGAATGACAGAGAATGAGATCGTTGGATGTCATCACCGACTCAGTGGACATGAGTTTGAGTAAACTCCTGGAGTTGGTGATGGACAGGGAGGCCTGACGTGCTGCAGTTCAAGGGGTCGCAAAGAGACGGACAGGACTGAATGAATGAATTGAACTCAACAGAGAGAAATAAAGCTAGGACACAGGTCCAAGCTCCAAAGCCTTTGATCTTTCTAAAGTGAGGTTGCCCTCCATCCTGGCTTTCCCAGGACAGTCCTGGTTTACGGAGACCACATCTCATCAGTTGTTCTTCCCAGCACCCTGTTGTGCTCTCAAATGTTTCTGCAGTGGGAGAGTGATAAATTATATCATCTCACTCTTCATAAGCTAACATGCTAGGAGGCAGCTTGTGTGACAAGCATTATTATTCCAAATAAAATATTGTTCCCTAAAAGTGTGATTAAACAGGGACAGATAACTGGGGAAGTGAAACAGTGTGTTGGCCAGCGGTGTAGCATGTGATGAGTTTGAGGAGCAGGTCAGAGGGATGAGTGAACAAGAAGACTGAAGGAACAGGATGTAGAGATGCAGGTAAGAGCTTAGAAAAGGAGCCACTCATTCACAGTGGTGGCAATACACAGGTCTGTGTGACACAGTCCTGTCACAGCTCAGGTCAAGAGCTGTGACGATGCTCATATAGCTTCGTTCTATTCAACCTGCTATGTAAAAGTCAGAGGAGTAAATAATATATTTTGGAAGCATCTTCATCCAGAGTGGTCGTGGTTTAGTTGCTTCAGCCATGCATGAATCTTGTGACCTCATGGACTGTAGCCTGCCAGGCTCCTCCATCCATGGGATTCTCTAAGCAAGAACGCTAGAGTGGGTTGCCGTTTCCTTCTCCAGGGGATCTTCCTGACCCAGGAATCAAACCTGGGTTTCCTGCATTGCAGGCAGATTCTTTACCAACTGAGCTATGAGTGAAGCTTCTTTATCCAGCTTAGCAATTTTAATTTTAAATGTAATGTATATTTACATTTATTTTCTGAATTTAAATTTAAAAGTAAATTTAAATTTAAATAGTCACCAAAATAGATTTTCCTTCATTTACCAGAAATTTAACTTACAGGACATGCCATCCATACTATACCCTAACCATTTTAACTAACTTTGGTCTTATTTACTTGAAACTGAGAGGTCATAATATGTACTAATTTTAACTATAATAGTTTATGCTCTATTAAAAACACAAGAGCATTCATTTATTTGTGCCTTGTAGAAACTTTGTAAGATTGCTATTTGAGCTATCATTATGCTCTATATTTTAAAGAATATTAAACTGATAGAAAGTCAAATTTCTTGGCACATCTAATGAGTGCTGGAGCAGGAACTCAAATACTGGCCTTATGAATCAACAGTCTAAGTTCTTTCTACAACCTCAGTCCTCTCCTCATTTTTTCATTCATGCATTAATTCATCTATTCAAAAAATTCATTAGATTCCTATTACCTGCTAGATATTTTGCTAGACAAAAAGATAAACAGAATATCAGGTTTTAGTCTTAGATCTCAAACTCTTTGGGGACCCAAGTATTAAAAACAAAACAATAAAACAAAGAGCACAATTGTAAACATGCTATAATAGCCAGTTAGGTTGCTTCCATACCTTGGCAATGTAAGTAATGTGCTGTGAACATTGGGGGCATGTTTCTTTTCAATTAGCGTTTTTACTTCTTTCTAATATATACATGGAAGTGAAATTGTTGTGTCACCGGGCTTCCCTGGCGATTCAGATGGTAAAGAATCCGCCTGCAATGCAGGAGACCTGAGTTCTATCCCTGGGTTGGGAAGATCCCCTGGAGAAGGGGATGACAATCCACTCCAGTATTCATGCCTGGAGAATCCCCTGGAAAGAGGAGCCTGACAGGCTATAGTCCATAGGGTCAAGAAAAGTTGGACATGACCGAGTGACTAACATGTTCACTTTTTTTTCACAGTAATTCTGTTTTTAGTTTTCTAAGGAACCACCATACTGCTCTGAACAGTGTCTGCCCAAATTTACATTCCTACCCACAGCGTACAGGTTTCCCTTGTCTTCACATCCTCTCCAGCATTTGTTATCTGTGATCTCTTCGATGGTAGCCATTCTGACTGGAGTGAGGTGATATGATCCCTCATTGTGGTTCTGATTTGCATTTCCCTGTTAATTAGTGGTGTTGAGCATCCTTTCACGGACACAGACAGTTGGCTACCTGCATTTCCTCTTTGGAAAATGTCTATTTTGTTCTTATGCCCATTTCTTAACTGTGTTGTTTGTTTTTTGATGTTCAGTTGTCTGAGATGTTTATATATGTTGGCTATTAATTCCTTATCAGTCATCTCATTTGCAAGTATCTTTTCTCATTCATGTTGTCTTTTCATTCTGTCAGTGGTTTTGTTAGCTGTGCCAAAAGCTTTTCCATTTTTTAAAAGTGTCTATCAGAGGTTGAATGGATAAAGATGTGGTATATATAAACCAAATGGAATACTACTCAGCAATAAAGAAGAATGAAAATTCTGCCATTCGCAGCCTCATGGGTGGATTTGGAGGGCATTGTGCTATGTAATTAGTTGCTCAGTCATGTCTGACTCTGAGACCTCATGGATTTTGGCCCGCCAGGCTCCTCTGTCCATAGGATTCTCCAGGCATGAATACTGGAGTGGGTTGCCATTCCCTTCTCCAGGGGATCTTCCTGACCCAGGGATCGAACCCCAGCCTCTTGGGTTTCCTGAATTGGCAGGTGGGTTCTTTACCACTAGTGCCACCTGGGAAGGTATCTTGCATGAAGAGGACCAGGAATAATTCTAAGGAGCTTTGAAATTTCACTAACAGAGCCTGGGGTGACTGGCATTCCAGAAAGAGAGAACAGTGTGATCAGGGTCCACGAGGAAGGTGTTGGGGGAGAATTGTGTCACGTGATGTGCCCATAGCATGCGGTCCTTCAGAAAATGGGGTGAGGATGGCAACATGGTGCTTGAAGCCTGTGCTCGCAAGCTTGGGCTTAGAAGCCAGGCAAGAAAGTTCAGTAGGGGGAGTTATGCATCTGACATATATTTCCGTACGATCACGTGCTTTCCATGGGGACACGGGGACAATGAGATGAACTGCAACAGTCCTGGTGAGAAATACCAAGATGCTGAACTAGACGCCACTGGGAATGGCAGCGAGGTGGGTCAGGCACTGGATGAGCTACAGATGACCGGGCAGACATATGGGGAGTGAAATACGTCAGATCCAGTAAAGGTCAGGTGCTCGTTCTCAGCATATAAAGTGCCAAATCAGGCAAGGCTAGTGTCAGAATAGGAGCTAGTGGTTACCCCGGGCAGGAAGGTCAGCGGCTGAAGGCGGCAGGAGCTATAGGCACCCTGCTGATCTCTGTGCAGATTTGCCTGCTGCTTATCGGGATGTGGTCACTGTGACGTTCAGGATGTGTGCAAGCCGGGGCAAAGGCGTGTTATATGTCTGCAGCAGAGTTAAGCAAGTTTAGAAAGAAGCTGGTGATGTGGCTGAGGTTGCTGGCTTAGGAGGTGCTCTAGGGAAGACAGGAGGGCGGGAGGGGAGGAGGACAGATCACCTTGGACCTGGATCGGCTGGGCTCTCTCTGAGATGCCTGCCTGTTACTGATGCGGTGACACTCAGTGAGCAAGTCTCCAGAGCAAAAGCATTGCCTTACTTGAATCCTACACAGCGTCTCTAAATATTTATGATAAGAGCACGTGAATAATCCCAAACAACAAACCCAAACATTTTGTTGGCAGCTCTCATCAGCTGTCTCTGGGGAACTCAGTCCATGAACTCAGAGAGCAGCACAACTTCCCAACCTGCCTCCTTCCACATGCTGCTCACTTAGAAGAAGCTGTAATGCTTGCTCCCCCATGCCAGCCCACTCTGCAGGTTGGGAAGATCTCGGCACCCATCCACAGCTCGCCCCGACCTCCTCTGGCCGGAGTGCATCCCCGCTGTGTCCTGGGAAGGACTGAGGTCCTGGGGGACTTCTCTGGCGGGGGCTGCCCCCCGCCCCCGCCTCTTCGCCCTTCTCGAAGTGACAGAGCACCTGGGGGCTCTCCTAGGTCTGGGGACTCACCTGCTTCTTTCAGCATCAGCAGACCTCTCTTGGCCTCCTCCAGCGGCAGCACGAAGGACGTCTTGGCCGTGTGGAAGCAGAAGCCGCACTTGTAGTTGCACTGGCGGGTGAAGTGGTAATTGACGCTGGTGGGGGTGGTGGGCAGGTCGCCGCCTCCCTCTCCCTCTGCCCTGCCAGGCTCCCCTGCTTCCCTCCTGCCCTGGACCTGCCGGCTCCTCTCGGCCCCTGCCAGCCAAGATGCTGCCCGGAGCTGGAGGAACAGGGGCCCCAGGCTGCTCCACACAGAGCCCAGGGGCTGCAGGAAGGCGCTCAGCAGCTTGAGAGCGAACGCAATGGGTACCAGCATCCACATGGTGGCAGGAGTCCTGAGGCTGAGCTGTGTCGGCAGGTACCCTGAGGCTGCGTTGCAGCCGCAGGCTGGCTTTTATACATGCCTGGCAACCTGTCACATGAAAGGAGGGACACACCTTTCTTGACTAACGCTCAGCTGAGGGCTAAGTTTCGATTTCCTTCTTCGTGAAAATGAAAGTTGGAACGGGGCCAAGACTGAAGTCTCAGGAGTAGGACCAACATCTGTTTTTCTCTGCCCCATGGCTCAGCTCCATCTCCTGGAATCAGTAATAATTCAGACTGGATGTAGATGGACATGCTGCTCTTGAGGCTCTGTTTGGATCCAGCAGGTAGTGATAGAACTAGGCAGAGACATAACCATCTCTGCAGCCGCTGCATTACTAGTGGAGGACATAAACTGTAGGAGCATCTGCCCCAGTGCCCTTTGCTTGCAGTGGCTCAGCGAGAGTTTGTCTGGAGAGGAGAGCCAAAGAGTGAAGAGTGATCGCCTGGTGGACGATGAGAGCAGATTCTATCAGCTCAGGACCCCTTTCAGATCTGTCGAAATGCATAGGCACATAGAGACATTAATGCCTGAATCTTCCTTTAGTGACTCCTCTTAAAGCATGCATTTTCGCATGGTAAAATGTTTCAAATGTTGAAATTCAGCCATTTATCTTTTCCTACAGGTTTATGCTTGTCTACACCATTTTTAAAAGATGAGAAAAATCAGATGCTTTTCTAAGATCCTTCCTTTAAAAAAAAAATTGAAGTATGGTCAATTTATAAGGTTGTGTTAGTTCCAGGTGTACAAAAAAGTGATTCACTTATCAGTTCAGTTCAGTCACTCAGTCATGTCTGACTCTTTGTGACCACGTGGACTGCATTATGCCAGGCTTCCGTGTCCATCACCAACTCCTGGAATTTACTCAAACTTCTTTGAGTTGTCCTTTGAGTCGGTGATGCCATCCAACCATCTCATCCTCTGTTGTCCCCTTCTCTTCCTGCCTTCAATCTTCCCCAGCATTAAGGTCTTTTCTGATGAGTCAGTTCTTCCCATAAGGTGGCCAAAGTATTGGAGTTTCAGCTTCAGTATCAGTCCTTCCAATGAATACTCAGGACCGGTTTCCTTTAGGATGGACTGGTTGAATTTCCTTGCAGTCCAAGGGACTCTCAAGAGTCTTCTCCAACACCACAGTTCAAAAGCATCAATTCTTTGGTGCTCAGCTTTCTTTATAGTCCAATTCTCACATCTATACATGACTACTAGAAAAACCATAGCTTTGACTAGATGGACATTTGTTGGCAAAGTAATGTCTCTACTTTTTAATACGCTGTCAAGTTTGGTCATAACTTTTCTTCCAAGGAGAAAGTGTCTTTTAATTTCATGGCTGCAGTCACCACCTGCAGTGATTTTGGAGCCCAAAAAAATAAAGTCAGCCACTGTTTCCACTGTTTCCCCATCTATTTGCCATGAAGTGATGGGACCAGATGCCACAATCTTAGCTTTCTGGATGTTGAGTTTTAAACCAACTTTTTCACTCTCCTCTTTGACTTTCATCAAGAGGCTCTCTAGTTCTTCTTCACTTTCTGTCATAAGGGTCATGTCATCTGCATATCTGAGGCTGTTGATATTTCTCCCGGCAATCTTGATTCCAGCTTGTGCTTCCTCCAGCCCAGCCTTTCTCATGATGTTCTCTGCATATAAGTTAAATAAGCAGGGTGACAATATACAGCCTTGATGTATTCCTTTCCTATTTGGAACCAGTCTGTTGTTCCATGTCCAGTTCTAACTGTTGCTTCCTGACCTGTATACAGATTTCTTAAGAAGCAGGTCAGGTGGTCTGGTATTCCCATCTCTTTCAGAATTTTCTACAGTTTGTTGTGACCCACACAGTCAAAGGCTTTAACATAGTCAATAAAGCAGAAATAGATGTTTCTCTGGAAGTCTCTTGCTTTTTTGTTGATCCAGTGGGTGTTGGCAATTTGATCTCTGGTTCTTCTGCCTTTTCTAAAACCAGCTTAAATATCTGGATGTTCACAGTTCATGTACTGTTGAAGCCTGGCTTGGAGAATTTTGAGCATTATTTTACTAGCATGTAAGATGAGTCCAATTGTGTGGTAGTTTGAGCATTCTTTGGCATTGCCTTTCTTTGGGATTGGGAATGAAAACTGACCTTTTCCAGTTCTGTGGCCACTGCTGAGTTTTCTGAATTTGCTGACATATTGAGTGCAGCACTTTCACAGCATCTTCTTTTACGATTTGAAATAGCTCAACTGAAATTCCATCACCTCTGCTAGCTTTGTTTGTAGTGATGTTTCCTAAGGCCCACTTGATTTCACATTCTAGGATGTCTGGCTCTAGGTGAGGGATCATACCATCGTGATTATCTGGGTTGTGAAGATCTTTTTTGTATACTTCTTCTGTGTAGCCTTGCCACCTCTTCTTAATATCTTCTGCTTCTGTTAGGTCCATACCATTTCTGTCCTTTATTGTGCCTATCTTTACATGAAGTATTCCCTTGGTATCTCTAATTTTCTTGAAGAGATCTCTAGTCTTTCTCATTCTATTGTTTTCCTGTATTTCTTTGCATTGATCACTGATGAAGGCTTTCTTATCTCTCCTTGCTATTCTTTGGAACTCTGCATTCAAATGGGTATCCCCTTCCTTTTCTCCTTTGCCTTTCACTTCTCTTCTTTTCACAGTTATTTGTAATGCCTCCTCAGACAACCATTTTGCCTTTTTGCATTTCTTTTTTTGGGGGATGGTCTTGATCACCACCTCCTGTACAATGTCACGAACTTCTGTCCATTGTTCTTCAGGCACCCAAGAAGGATGGGTCATGGTGGAGAGTTCTGACAAAACGTGGTCCACTGGAGGAGGGAATGGCAAATCACTTCAGTATTCTTGCCTTGAGAACCCCATGAACAGTAAAAAGGCAAAAAGATAGGACACTGAAAGATGAACACCCCAGGTCAGTAAGTGCCTTTTATGCTACTGGAGATCAGTGGAGAAATAACTGAAAGAATGAAGAGATGGAGCCAAAGGAAAAACAACACTGTTACTGTGGATGTGACTGGTGATGGAAGTAAATTCCGATGCTGTAAACAGCAAAATTGCATAGGAACCTGGAATGTTAGATCCATAAATCAAGGCAAACTGCTGCTGCTGCTGCTAAGTCCCTTCAGTCTTGTCCGACTCTGTGTGACCCCATGGACAGCAGCCCACCAGGCTCCTCTGTCCCTGGGATTCTCCAGGCAAGAACACTGGAGTGGGTTGCCATTTCCTTCTCTAATGCATGAAGGTGAAAAGTGAAAGTGAAGTCCTTCAGTCATGTCAGACTCTGTCCTACCAGTCGTGTCCTACCAGGCTCCTCCAGCCATGGGATTTTCCAGGCAAGCGTACTGGAGTGGGTTGCCATTGCCTTCTCCCAAACTGGAAGTGGTCAAACAGGAGATGGCAAGAGTGAGCATGAACATTTTAGGAATCAGTGAACTAAAATGGACTGGAATGGGTGAATTTAACTCAGATGACTATTATATCTACTACTGTGGGCAAGAATTCCTTAGAAAAAATAGAGTAGCCGTCATCGTCAACAAGAGTCTGAAATGCAGTACTTGGATGCAATCTCAAAAACGACAGAATGATCTTTGTTTGTTTCCAAAGCAAACCATTCAATATCACAGTAATCCAAGTCTATACGCTGAAGAGTAATGCTGAAGCTGAAGTTGAATGGTTCTGTGAAGACCTACAAGACCTTCTAGAACTAACACCTCAAAAAGATGTTGTTTTCATTATAGGGACTGGAAAGCAAAAGTAAGAAGTCAAGAAATACCTGGAGTAACTGGCAAGTTTGGCCTTGGAGTATAGAATGAAGCAGGGCAAAAGCTAACAGAGTTTTGCCAAAAGAATGCACTGGTCATAGCAAACACCCTCTTCCAACAACACAAGAGAAGACTACACATGGACATCACCAGACGGTCAATACCGAAATCAGATTGATTGTATTCTTTGCAGCCAAAGATGAAGAAGCTCTATACAGTCAGCAAAAACAAGACCGGGAGCTGACCGTGGCTCAGATCATGAACTCCTTATTCCAAATTCAGACTTAAATTGAAGAAAGTCAGGAAAACCACTAGACCATTCAGGTATGACCTAAATAAAATCCTTTATGATTATACAGTAGAAGTGACAAATAGATTCAGTTATACATATATATCTATTCTCTTTCAAATTCTTTTCCATTATAGGTAATTACAAGATATTGAATATAGTTCTTTGTGCTATTCAGTAGGCCCTTGTTGATTATCTGTTTTATACATAGTAGTGTGTATTGAAGGCAGAAGGAGAAGAGGGCAACAGAGGATGAGATGGTTGGATGCCATCACTGACTTGACGGACATGAGTTTGAGCAAGCTCTGAGAGTTGGTGATGGACAGGGAGGCCTGGTGAGCTGCAGTCCATGGGGTTGCAAAGAGTTGGATACGACTGATTGAACTGAACTGGACACCACATCTTTTTATCCATTCATCTGTCAAGGATATTTAGGCTGCTCCTATGTCTTGTTTGTTATGAATAGTGCTGCTGTGAACATTGGGGTGCATATTTCTTTACAAATTATAATTTTCTTTGGCTATATGCTCAGGAGTAGGATTGCTGGATCACATAGTAGTTCTATTTTTAGTTTTCTAAGGAACCACATGCATGTTCTCTGTAGTTGACTACGCCAACCTCCATTCCCACCAGCGGTGTTGGAAGGTTCCCTTGTCTCCACATTCCCTCCAGCATTTATTATTTGTAGACTTTTTAATGATGGCCATTAAAAAGTGACCAGTGTGACCGGTGTGAGGTGGTACCTCACTATAGTTTTGAAATGCATTTTTCTAATAACCAAGATGCTTCTTCGTTGTCAAGTTACTGTGGCTTTTCATTTTCACATTTTCCCTAGAAAATGTTGTTCAACTTTGTATTGGGATTTTCTCTCCTTGAGCCCTCTTTGATCAGAATAGTGTTTGATTGATCATGTGTGGTCTGGCTTTCAAGAGACTTGTAGGAAGTTGGGATAGTCCTTGTGGTTAAGTTTGTGAAACCACAAGCCTAGCTCATCTCTTACTAGCTGAGCCGACTGGGTTGCTTTATTTC